GAGAAAGATTACCTCCACTGTCCTGAGAGAAAGACTCACCATTTTCTCCCAATAGCCTAAGGCTCTTCCTCATCAATGAGTGTCTGGCAGCTCCAGAACCGAAACCTTACAGTAGCTGTATGTCTGCAAGGTCTTTCCTGAGCCACCTTTTTCTAATATGTAATAATGCCTTTCGCTGCACTTTTGTGTCTTAGGAATTAATTCAGAATAGTAATCAGATACGGTCTGTTAATCCAAATTATTCACCACAAGCTTTAAAATCACATAATTGGTAATAACAAGTATCCCCAGGGGAAGGCCTTTAGTTGTACTGTACTCATCTGTATTCTAACAGCCTTGCTTCAGGTAGCCCTGTAAGCTAAACTGTTAAAGATTTACTATTTAAGGCGCACTGAGGCAAGGTAAATGTAAACATGTTTAATTTTAAAGTTCCAAAATCTGTTTTTATTGTACAGTATTTTTACTGTAGTGAATTAGGAACTTCTTGTTAAAGTGACGAAGTGTAGTTTTCTAGTGAAATCCGGCAATGAGAAAAGTTGGACTTTTCTAAAAATAAAATGTGCACTTGAGCTCCCTCTGTCTTTTCAAACTATGACACTTTCAGATGTATTATCATGTACATCAGCCTATTTCAATGAAAACAAGGAAATCTTGGAAAAGGAAAAGGAAGAAATGTTTGCCAGAGTGAAGTGTATTTTCCAATTAAATGTCACTGGGATATAAGAGAAACACAGCCTTCCTTAGGAAGGTGATCCAATTAACAGATTCTCTGACCAGCCCATTAGTGGCACTAAGCCTGGGCCTCCTGTTATGTTTTTTTGCTAACGAGATTCATCTCACCACCATCGAATGCTGAAAATTTAGAACTCAGACAGTGAGCTGAAGCAGAGGTCAAAGAGCCCACAGTGAGAGCTCTTACTAGATACAAAGTTATGGAGGCTGGACAGATTTCTGGCAGGTTGAGCAGCTTGTTGAGTTAAGTGGAGAATAGGCTTCACTGAGAGTCAGACCTTTAAAGCTCATAACCCTTGCTGCCAAGACGACCCTTTGTGCCAAATGTAATAAGGAAATGAGAAAGTCTTTCTTGTTTCATCTCATTCAGAACTTAATATTGGAAAAAGAAGGTCCACAGCTATGTTCAGCCTAATGATACAAAGTACATCAAACTACACAAAAGCTTTGACTTATTGTACTGAAGAATTAATGTTAATTAATATAATAGACTTATATAGTTTTATATACAGATATGAATACATAACTGAATAGATACCATGTTAATTGATACACTGGACAATATGTTACTTGGAAAACTGCTGACCCCATTACTCACAAAATATTGTTCGGGATTGATCAGGGAACGTTTTAAAATCACATTCCAAAAATATTGTTCAAGACCAATACTTTAGTAATAAAATCCTTTCTTCTTCCAGTTGAGTAGTCACACCTCATAATAATAATATAATAATAAAATAATATATAATAAACAAATTATAAATAATAAAGTATAGAATTAACCATTTCAAATCATAAATAACAATACTTAGAAACACATAGTTGAGAATGTACTGTGCAAAGTACAAACATACTTAGAAAACACATATTGAACCATTCGGAATTCCTATTATACATTTATAAGGAACAAGTAAATATTTATTCCATGCTGAAAATAGAAGAAAAGAAACAGCAATTTTGTCTGTGGAGCCTTCTTTGGGTGTGAGAGAGGAAAATCATTCCATATGAATTATTAATGTATGTGCATGCTTTAACATGCAGTCATGCTGACTGATTTTTTGGAGCTAAACTCTTGGTCATCTCTTCTGAGCAACCTAGTTTGGAGGACTGACATCTGGGATTGGGGCTGCTACCCTGTGGTAGATAAAAGTGGAAGTTCTGAAATAGGGAGTGACTTCTCTTACTTGTGTGTTTAACTGTACACAACAGAAGATCCTACTTCTTGGAGCATGGCTTATTTCCTATTCCCTATTGTATCCAGTTAACTTTTACTTTCAGAAAATTAGTGGAAGGTTCTATTAAGCAGAGTGTATTTCAGTGTTTCCTTTCTCTATGTCAAACTGCTTGGCTTTCAAAAATAAAGCACTGGACAAATACCTGTGCCTTAGTCACTGTGTACATTTTTTTTCTGAAGCAACAAAAATCCCTGGAATTAGTTTCCCTTTTAACGGGAATACAGAACCAGAGTCTGTTCTGTATTTCCAGGGCAAACAGACAGGGCAGATGGCAGGACATGGACGAACGTTCTGCAGTAGCGAGGTTCAGTCAATACCAGCACTTGGCTCTTTGCATTGCCAAAGCAGCAGCCAGCAGCAACAGGCACTTGAGCCTTAGCGAGGCAGGAAAGATGGCACACCGGTGCTGTTCCTCAATACCACCAGGGACTTTGAAAATGTGTTAATAAGGCAGATGGCAGATCTTAGGCAGACAGAGTTTTGTATAATCCAGAGCTCTGCCAAGCGAAAAGCTATGTTTTTATCTATCCATCAATTTTCTAACCACTTTCCCAACAGAGTGTTGTTGGAGCCAGAGCCTCTCCTCGCCAAGCAACGGATGTAAGGCAGGATACCTCCTGGACGGGACACCAGTCCATCACAGATCTATATGTTTAATGCTTTGAGAAGAGCACAAGAACTCAATAAAAACAGGCAAATTCCCAAGCGCCAGGATTAGAGGAATGCAAGGAATGAAAAGGAAGACAGTTATTTCCCCTCTGTACAGCGTCAATTATTTGACTGATTATGGCACAGCTATACAATCCTGATGCTTATCTTGACTTAACAGAAATGAAGACCAGTTAGAAGGTTTTGACTCCTAACATTGTGGATGTATATTTTTTGAGCTCATGGTGTCTTTTAAAAAATAGTTGTCCATGGCTTCTAGCTTTGACTTCATACTATATATTCAAAGGGCTTGTGGAATATACAGTATGCTACATGTCATTCATGTTGTTCTTGCTGTTAATGGATGCACAGTACTGTATGTTATTGGGTGGGTTCCAATAACAGGAATCAGTCCGTTAAAGTGCACACATTTATAGTACACGTGAATAACACGTTTATAAGGACCTACCTGCACAGAGTAGAGTAGAAGCTGATCTTTCTATGCTGTTGTAATCACACCTGGCACGTTGGCAATAAAACTGGCACCTATCACCTGCACCTCCATCTTCGGAAGCATTTTTTTGTTTGTTTTGAATAGATGACCACCCAGCTTCTGCTGTATGTTTACTTTCACACATTTCTCAGAAGGCCTTTTAAGCAAGCTGGGCAATACGAGGCACTGCAGTCTGAGCAGACTGAGGATGAGGGGAAGCTCATTTGCAGTTGATATTCTATAGTCCCTATGTGGATACTCCCACAGCAGATCACTGTGTCAATGTTAATTTCCTTCAATCCAGACAAGATGGGTCTTTGATCAGGCTGACAGTCGCTTCTGCACCAGCTCCACGGTTTTTAATGAATAGCCCAGTTAGCTGCATCTTACAGGGTTGATGGGAATAAACAACATACACATGAAAGGAGCCTGACAGATGGACAGACAGGCAGTTGGGCTGGCATGTGAGGAGACAGAGAAAGACAAAAATATTCACCCTCTTGTACTGAGGCCCAAATATATTTTGATTTAGACCTTAGAATCATTCCCAACACAAAAGTAAAACATTTACAGGACTAATTAATTGAGACTGTCTGTGGTATAAGATGAAGGTTTAAGAGACTGTGATGTCAGAAGCCCAGTGAAACAACTTCAACCACAGAAAGCTAACAATCCAGAAAAACAAAAACCCTAACTGTGCTGATGGATGTGGAATCATGACGTACAGAGAGCAGATGGGCAGAGGCAGTTTCCACTGCGTCAGGCATCATGGCTTATACAGCACGGCTCCCAGTGCCAAACAAGGATTTGCAAGTGAAGTGGACTTCCTGCAATAACCCCTGCTTGGTCTGTGTCCCATTCAGGAGCCCAGCAAAACTGCCAAGTCTAAAATTCAGGATTAAATAGGCAGATGGCAAAAACGGCAAAAAAAACACTAACTACCAGCCTAGATAAGAAGAAAATGAATAAATATTCCTGAAGGGGTAGGTACATAAAATGTCAGAATCTTATTGTTGAACGTTTGGCTATATAATAATAACAACAATTGCATTTGCATATAGCTGTTTTCCTCTCAAGGTGCCCCGAAGTGCTTTAAATAAGATATACAAATACAATACTGAAATGCAGCTCCCACCTGGGTGATCTGCAATAGCCAATGTGCAGCTCCACTATACAAGTGTGGAGACATGTACATATGGTCTGAATTAAGGGGGGAATTTAAGCTACGCCAGACTGCTTGAATCCCAGAGTGGTATTTAGCCAGGATCTCAAGATTAAAACATGTACTGATACTATAAAATACTTTTTGTTCTGTTTGTGCTGGTTCGAGCCTGGGACATGTCTCTAGCTGACTGTGACTGGGATTCTCCGAGCAAAAGCACACAACTGAGTCAGCTAGGGGGCTGTAGACACCAAACAGGATGCTGTTGGTGAGGGACGTGCCTCTCTTCCTATCAGCGCTGGGCCTTTGGTAAAGAGCTGAGATCCTTGTGATGTGCTGGAAGATGACTGGATCCAGTTTTGGGCAATTAGGAGGACTCTACATTCTAAATTCTTCCTGCATTTCCACATTTTCTCCTGTGCATGGTGTGAGTAACACAAATAATACAAATTAACTTTGTGACCTTCAAGAGCAACTTCAAAAGCTCTTCTAAAGATACTGAAGTACAGGATTTAAGTGATCACAATTAAGATTGAATTTTACTTTATTTATGCCAAGTACCTTAAAAATCTCCAAAACAAAAGTAATTTTGATCTTGCTTATAACATTGTCAGGGTTCTTTTTTACCCGTGTTCCTGCTGTAGTATTGCTTTGTAAGTGAGCCCAGTAGAAACATTATCCCTCATTAAACCCCAAAGTGCAGATCATTAGTGTCCCACCGGCATCCTACCTCTGATAATGGAAAGCTTGGCGCTGACGGTGACTTCCCCCTCTGAGTTTTCAGCTACGCACTCATAAATGTTCTCATCCCTTGGCGCTCGGAGAGGCTGTATCCTTAACACAGCCCCTGCCCCTTCATCAAACTCGATCGTCTGTTGAAACACACAAGACAGGGCAGCTGGTAAGAAAAGGATCATGTATAGAAATCCAAATACCAGATGCAGATGAGGCTACAGCATAACAAACGTGGAACAGTAGCTTGCTTCTCTAGCTACTGAAGCCCCTTTGAGAAACCATCCAATTACCAGATCTTGGCAGTGTTTCAGCACACCTATAACTGTATTCTTCTGGGAACTGGTCTTCATTGAAATTTTGAGAGGAGGAATAGACTAACAAAACCGTAAAACATCTGGACATTCCTGAAACAGAAATAGTTGACCACGATGCTGCCTGGACAAAGAGTAAATCAAGTTAATACAGACAAGGTGGCAGAATTCCGGGTGAATCATTTCATGGATTAGGATTTGGGGGAAAATAATTTATATTGTAGCAGATTTATTTTCTATCTACGATAGAGTTGGGATGATAAATTTAGATTATTTTTTGGTTTTGGCATATTAGCATTAAACACGCTTATTCATACTATATGACACAGGTCTTCTTCAGGCTCGTGAGTAGTTAGCCACATGCACAGACCTGTTGTTTATGCTTTAGGATAAACCAAATGTTACAATATCAAAACATAAAAGCATCTCAGTCGTATGTATTCTCAGGTTAAAGTTATTTAAATGTCACCGCAGATTATCATTTTATACACAGTGAACGTTAATGTTGGGTTATTTGTTGTTTCTATAACTAATGCTTGTACAAACACTTTGCTTTAATATAATATTAAATATTTTAATATCTGTAGGTGGCTAATTCCTATATTCAAGCCACATCAGCTCATTGGGCCAGAGCTTGTCCTGGTCTCCATGTTAATCAGACAGTGTGAGTGACATCCCTCTAGATGGGAGAGATCAACCCTAAGAATGCTGGTCCCCTGGGTGTGGGTGGACTGGAGCAACTGGGGTCCACCACACTCAATTTACAATGACAGGGTCTGCAGTGGGGACTTCAACCCACAACCTACCAGTCATGAGACCAGACTTACCCTCTCCTCTACACCACTTCAATTTAATATAGTAACGGTGCTTAGCTCCAGCTTAAGCGTTTAAAACCTGTTATAAAGCTCTACATTATATCCAAGCCAACTATACCATAATCTTTTATGTAGCTGTTAGATTGGCTTTATTTAGCATTATGGTTAAATATTTCATGCAGCATATTTGACAGAATTTCCTTGCTTAACCAACTGTAAAAAATTAAGTGACTATTTTTGCTTCTTATTATTCAGTGTACGTAAATCCATTTTTTAGAACAAATTATATTAATTTTCAGAACACAAACACTTCCTCCGCCCACGCACATAAACCATAAAACATTTTTATACAGTAAATGACACCCATTGACAGAAAGCCTTTTAATATGTGTTTAACAGTTATTATATTACATGGTTAATGGAACTGTGCTTCTTCACAATGAAGCATTAACAATTAACATTTTTTAAATGTATTAACAATTACATTAGAATTACATGTAGAAATAAACAGAAATGTAAAGCATTTCCAATTATGACATCACGTTATCAAGTACAGAGGTTATGTTAAGGGAACCATCGATAAAGTACACACCTGCACATAAAACAAATTGTCTCACGTTTCAAAATTGCCTTTTAGTTAAACGATTGTTTTCCTAACTTACAGAGGCAAATCCTGCATTGTAGTTTGCATGTTAACTGGCTTGTGACTGATGTACTTTGTATGTCCAAGTACTCACATTACTTAAAACAAATCACAGAGAAGAAACTGAATTAAATTGATAATGACACTAATTAGCCTACATGCAACATGAGGTATTCAGTGACAAATACTAATTAATGACTACTAATTAAAAACAAAAAGTGGTTAGATGAACTCACAAATCAGCCCACCATAGGTATGCATTTTATATGCTAACAACCTATTAAGAAAGGACAGCAATTTTCATGCTGTTCAAAACTAGCCTAAGTGCTGACAAGCTCATTTTAAGTGAAATAAGTTTTGCTATTTAAATTATGAGTCTTTTTGAATAGAACTCAAAATGTTCATTGCCGTCATGTGTTATTGAGTGAATTATCACTTGATATTTAGATAGAGCCCAACAACACCACAGCACATAATTACAAAATATAATCTACTGTATTTTATATTGTGGAATGCTTTTTATGAATCTTTAAATTGATTCATTGAGTCATTTGGATAAATTGTAAAATTAATTTCAGATTTAAGAGCAGAGCAGGATGAAATGGAGACAAAGGTTAAGCGACACTTTTAAATGAGCCATGCAACAGACTGATGATCTAGTGAGTGAGCCCCTCCTCGCCCCCTGCCCGAATACCCACTGTCCAGTATCAGCACCTCAACGTGGTCTTGTTTATTGTATTGTAACGTGTGCTCCTGGTTGTGTGTCTATAATGGAGGGAGAAACAAGCAGGAGAAGATTTCCATTACAGTGGGGGGGTGCTAATCACAGAGCAGGGAAATAGCTGGGAAAGCAGAGAGAGAAAGTGCAGGTATCCACTGGACACAGAGGAGGGATTCATGATGTTTAACAGATTACTATAGGTTTGTTGTACCAATGTTGTTTGTTTTAGTTGATCAATGTTATTTTAATTAACTTAAAAACAATGCATTAGTACTTTAAATACTATATATGGGAGGGTTACATATTTCTTTTAGACACATACTAGAGAATATACTGTAATACATTATGTGACACTTTGTTACTGTACAGTATATGCGAATTTGGCTATTAGCAATGAGTGTCTGCATCGGATCCTTATGAATGTCGAGACCCTGCTGTAATGTTTGTGTTCACATATGTAAATATTTGCTCAGAACACCTCTATTCTCTAGCAGTCTTTATTGTAAATAGTAAGAACTAGTAAAGATTGCATGAAGCCTCTAACAGAAAAGACCAACACTGAAGCCAGCCTCTTTGCTCTGCCGCTGGTATCATGTATATAATATAGGTTCATGTTACCAAATACAGAAACTCATAAGAGAGCAAGAAGAGCCAGGTACCTCATACTGAGACTGCAGGTCCTGGAACACATGAAGACCAAAGTAAAAATATCAAGATATAATAATCACAAATCAAGCACAGTAAGGTGAATTACCTGTAAGGAGTTTATGATTTTGGAGAATAGCAGCATGAAAATTAGAAGCTTAATGTCAGTCTCTCCACCAAAATGCCAAGTGCCAACTAATTATGTAATTACTGTATCTAGCAAAAATTGTAATCTACAATATCTAAGAGACCAGGTTTTCTTCAAGCAGACATCAAGAAATAATTGTCTATATAAATAAGTCTACAGAACTAAGCCCCCTGAAGATCTTTTAATACTGCAGAGTAGAGAATTTCTTCATTAGTATGCAATCTATAGAGTACTGTGTGAGAAGATACTGCCATCAGCCTCAGGAGACTTTGAAAGGTCCTAGTTGTCAGCAATGTCCCAGGTTGGAAAAGTCAAAGACATGCTGGGAGACTCTGCCCACTTAGATCTAGAGCTTGAACCACAGAGTTGACAGACTGAGCCTTGTGAAATCAATACGGTATGGTCCATATCCACTCCATATTAAGACATCCGTTGTCTGGGATGCCTTGGTTTCTCAGAACTAGTGCTACAGTATATGCATACACATTAAGAAGGTGCTGTTGATATGCTTTCTCATCCTCCCGACATCCCCTGCTTCTCTCTTTCCTTTTGCTCAATCCCATCCAAGATTGTTTTTATCTTTTTTTTTTATTACAAAGTCGTGACACAAGATTTTGAACCAAAATCATCAGCAATTCTATGGCTTGAAGCTGTACTATAATGTTCAATATCTTGGTGGAACTATGGAGAGTTAACATCTGAAAGAAGATGGAGTACTTCCTCTCACATGAACATCAAAGAGGCTTCAGATATTTGTTGAATTCAGGGATGTAGTGCTATCAGCTTCGGGCTGGTGTATTAGGAAACACAGATGTGATTGCTTTATTGCACTTGTATCCTGGCGCTTGTCTGTTGGCTGCTGACGGTGTCTTTCATAGGCCGCTAAAAGATCACTTAAGTAATTGAGTTTAACTGGAATAAGAAGACCTAGTTCTGCGAGTTCCATTTAAAATGGGAAGCATCTTCCCATTGGACCCACTTGGAACAACATGTCGTATGTGCAACTACAGACACAGCAGATGATCAACAGCATAATAAAAAAAATCCAATTTGAAACCAAATCCACCACAGTTCCAGTGCACTTCAATTCCACATCAATGGAAAAAAGCAATACGTGCTATTTTTGTTTCCAATAGGCAACTAATGAAATAGGAGCTGGAGTGCTACAATAATGAAGAAACAAACAATGTGCAGCATCATTCACAGAAAAACTCATTTAGTCTAATAGTGATTATTGTTTCAATGTGACACCATTGTCTCATTGGGGAACGTGGGCAGCATATGGGTTCAGGACTCCTGTGCAATCCTTAGTATATTAACACTAAACCCTGTATTGACAAAAAACTGTTTTCGATTTTCCTTGCTACAATTAATAAATACACTCCATTGCAAAGTGTAAATGTCTTGACACATTACTAGGGCTCGAATATAATGCTGCATTGTGTCTGTACTCTTTGTGTGGTTTCAGTAGCTTCAGTACCACTGATTATACAACAGGTAAGTGTGAGAAGAAATGCTGTAGGATCAGTAGGATGTGGATAAAGGGTTGTTGGCCAAGTGCAACAGTACAAAGTAATACTCTTATTTCTGAAATCACCAGGCCACACTGACACGGCCAGCACAGGAGACGTTCCTTGTAGAGGAAATGACAAGATGAGAGGGGGGGACAGTAGAGAAAGAACCTTCCCATCTTTTCCAAGGAGAACAGCAGGGAGAAAGGGTGTGTGAGGGGAATGGAAACATGAACAAACTGGAAAACCAGCCCGCCAGCCCAGCCCTGGAGCACACAGTGTCGGAGAAAGCAGAACAGAAAGGGATCCCTTTCGCTCTCAAAAAGACCAGCTTTCAAACAACAGAGAGCACTGGCAGCATCAGAGTGAAGAGCTCTATGCTTGGAAAGGAGCTGTAAAAAAATCACAGCTCAGAGGGGATTCCTTAGTAGCTCAAGCAGTAAAGCCTGCACTTGGTCATTTCATCCAAACACTTCTCGTTCCAGCATCATTAGGATAATATGACTGGGCTCTCCCTAATGCCAACAGACAACTGTTTGGTGGCCTGGAGTGTGCTGGAATGTGGCCCAGGTTTCCTTGCTTTGCCACGCTGTGGTACCTCTGAGCCTGCAGAAGTATCAGTACAAGGTGTATCAGGATCTGCATTGGGGGCACTACTGTAGGTGGACTCGTTCTCTTCGGAGAGAATGCATGTGTACCGCATTGCAGCTTCACACAAATATTACCATCACAGGGTTTTGTAAGAGTAAGTCAAGTAAATAAGCAATTACCAGCTCCACTCTTGGTATACCAACAAGATAAATACTGTAAGTTCTTAATTAAAAATCACAGGAGGCAATGGAGATTTAAAGAAAGCTCTTGGAAAGTGTACAGTATGCAAGCCAGCCCAGGGCCTAAACTGAGTGCCCTCTTGAAGATGTTCATTTTCAGAACTAATGTTGAACATTAAGCAAACCAAAAATCTGTTAACATCAAATATTTATAATGAACAAATATGTGAAAAACCTTATTACTTGATTTTAGAGGTGTTCACAGTTTTTCAACATTGAAGCTTTTGGAAACCAACAAGCAGTTAAAATAACTAGTTGAGAACATAACTATCTTGGCTATCTTCTATGATTGATTGAATGCTTTCCGGGAGTTTTGTTTCTACTCAACAAGAGTTCAGAAGTGTGAATTAACTCAGGTCTCATATCACTCTAGACTTCAAACAACCATCTGCACTGGAACAAAACCCTTCCTGACTAAAGAATGCAAAATGTTAAACAGAAAAAAAGCAATTAGTTGGTACTGTGCTTTGCAAAAGCTAGTTTCCATTGTAAATTCTAAATTATTAAATAATATTAAATGTGTTTCTACAGAAAATGTAATACCCTCCATAAAATCATCTTCATTTTTTTTTAATAGTTTGAGATGTAACTTATTGTATTTCTTTTTACAAATATAGAGAAATTTAACCCAGCCACTCTACCACATACCTGTATTTAAACACAGCAAACTGGTTTCACAAATGTGTGTAACTGTGTGCAATTACCTCGATCCGCTGAGAGTTGACCTTCTTTCCCTTCTTGTTCCAGGTCACTCGTGGCTTGGGGTCACCTGTTGCCTGGCACACGAAGGAGACCACCCCCCCAGACACTCCTGTCTGGTCAACTGGCACCTTGGTGAATTTGGGTGGTGCTAAAATAAACAGAGAGAAACAAAACATCAGTTTTTTAATATTGAATAAATGTAAATGTAAATAGATGCAATTCCAATGGCTGTCATACAGGTGTCTAGGGCTCCAGACTGTTAGTGCTAAAAAGGATTTTTTTGTAGAATAATCTTCAATTCAAGGTGTCATCCTGACATTGCTATAATTACACCAGCATGTACGTCCCCCATCTCACTAAACTTGACAGCAACCTAAAAAATGAGAATTTTAGGATAGGTTGCGTCAATTGAATTGGCAGATTTATAACATATTGACTGTTGTAACCAGAAATAAAATGTTATAATTCCCTTGGATTAACTCTGCATTTATACTGACATCATTCATCCTGAGCACGTATCACAGAATAATCACAGAGAAAGCTTTCACGTGTTTAAGTACAATGACATGGTGCCAAAGGAGAACTGGTACTATTCATCTGAACTATAAAGACAGGCAAAACCTTGGCAAACAAGAAAACTGAAATGGTTCTGAAAATGTTAAGGTAACATCAAGTCCTGCTGTTTCAAAAATGTACAAATCATTTGTAGCAGATCCTGCAGCTAATCCCTTAAATGTTCAAAATGCCACAGGTTCACAGATGATCCAGATCAGTGTTTTTTCCCTGTGAAATACATTTAATCTGTGGCTAGATGTTATACTTCCAATTATCAGGATCAAAAGAAGTTAATAATCATGTTCGAAAGTGGCAGGATAAACACACTTCATTTTCATGTTTTTTGGAGAAAAGATTTACTGTTTTTGTGACTTCAGAGAGAGATGAGCTATAGATCTTGGTATATACAGTAATTCAATTTTCCCAATTTTAGATGTCATATTGGCCATCTGCAGGCTGTTATCATTCTACAGGAGGAAGATGTAAAAGAAAAACTGATTTACAGAAACAAATCATGTTACAGCTGCAAATGCCTGTATTTTGGCTATTTTAAGTTTGTGTTAAAATAACAATATTTCACCTTTTGTGTTTATTTCTGAAGTGTAATCAGCATCCGTATAATGCGCTATCTTTATTTTTTTTTTCCAAAATACAGAATACAAAAGTTCATACTAAAAACAAATCTGTACTGTAAGGACATTATGTCATATTAACATATTTAAACACAGTCGGTATTTGTCAATTTGTTTATATATTCCACCTTTGTTCTGGTTTCTGAACACAATGCAGTAGAAAATTAATGTAACACCAAACACCTACTGATTTCACTATCAGACCTGTACATTACTATATGCAGGTCTAGATGAAAAATCCACTTATTTATTAAATGATGTCCAGAAGGATAGCTTACTGTACATTAACCAGGCTATCTACTGTATGCTGAAAACTAATTTTAAAAAAGAAGGGGAGGTTCCATTTTCCAGCATTCATTATTAAACTACAGTCTGGCAGAACTCTATTAAATACTGGGTATTTCATAAATCATACCACCATGTCAGGAGTACGATCATAACTGCAGGGCACATCGATGATAATAGGCAAAGATTAAAGTACAGGAGGGCAATTGCGCTATTCATTGTTTGGCCACAAGCAGGCTCCTATTTAAGACAAAGTTCAATTAGAACTGAACAGCAAAATGCTGCCATTCCCCAAGCTTCCCAGTAACATATTACAATCGCAGTGCTTGGGCACCTTTCACAGAGCTTGTATCTCCACATACAGTACAATGCCACAGTGAAGAATATTACAGACATGTTAACCCAAAGACATTACATGATGTCCTCTCAGACGGCTGCCCTTTTGGTCTGAATAAACCTTCACAATATTAAGAGAGTCTGGGCCTTGGAACTATGACCCATAACAAGGGGCTTGTTATTCAAAGCTGTAAATGTCACCAAACACTTCCACTTCACAGCAAAGTCAGCTCAGTGAGCTATAATAGTGTACGCTTTGATATTCTGTTTTATTTTCTTTGATTTGAAATCGTTAATCAACTATTGCTCCTGTGCCACATATACTAGCATAGAGGGTCATTTTTGTCATGTACTAGTAAACCACTCCTCTTAAAGGCACAGTTTTGTAGGGCATATTCATTTACTAAATTAAAATCTAGGAATCTGAATGAGCAGAAATAGACGGCTCTCAAATTCATCCATAATTAGGAAGCACAAAATGTATTAACATGGCAGTAATTATACTACAGACATGCATTTACTGACATGCTCTCACATCCATGAATAATTTAATGGAGCAATGAATAATAAAATGAACATGCTCCTTCTTTCCTGACCACAGTTTATACTGCAAACTAACATTAATGCCTTTACTTGCGAGAGCACCAAAAATAAATCGGAGAACAATATAAAAAATGCACATTACCTACACAACCCCTTAACCACAATATGTTACAGAGAGATCAATAAAGACAGGTAACCATACCATTGGGAAATACCACCAACATCAACAAATGTGGTATTAAAATAATCTTGAAGTGTATTGTTCAAGAAAGAGATGATTAGTTATGCTTCAACTCTAGAACTGGAAAAGTACATTGTGCTCCATTTTACAAGGGGCATGAGGTTACATACTACAGTATCAGAACAATAAAAGGAATTTCTTCAGGTCAATATAGCCAGTATCCACAGCAATTTAAAAATGATCAGATGCCAAAATACAAATTGAATAAATAATTAACTCTGTGCAGGCATAATAATATCCAGCAGTCAGGAAGGGGAGGGAGAGGAGAGAAAGCAGAATAATTTCAAGTACAATCACCCTCACAGACACACACACCCTACACGTGGCCAAGAATGCCAGTAAATCAAAGAACTTGTGTAATGCACATTCTTCTTTGATCTCAGACCTCCATGCAACAGGCCTGAAGGTTCTTCGTGAGAGAAACAAAAAAGCCTTTTCCAAAGACACAAGCCTCTTCAGTTATCTAAAATGAGAATCAATATTGTAAAATTGTATATTAAAATAATAATTTCTGTGGACAAATCCACTGTTACAGTCTTGCTGTATTGGGGAACTATAGCAGATCCTGTTAATGAGACAGCAGGTCCCTCCTGGGTGGATTCTGACACAAATCTTTCTTCACTATCTGAAGGATGGCCACTGGCCTCCATTAGTGTTCCTCAGGCCTAACCAACAGAAAAAAATGGCTCTTTTTAAGCCAAGAAGTCTCTGGAAAAGCATTACTGTAAGCTGCACCTCCACTGTCAAAATTGACTGCGAGGGAACTTTATGTTCTCAATGGCATGAGATGAACAGGCTGTGGCAAAACACAACAAAAATGGCAAATAGAATAAAGCCAGCAAACATTACACAAGCCTTACAAAGACTACAGAAAATTCCAATGTAGGTTTTAAAAGAAAAACAAAGCTTTACTTCTTCAAAGGAAACAGTAAAAAGAAACACTGCAGCTTGTCTTCCCAGCACAACTAATCATTTAACCACTGAGGCCTAAAAATCACTCAAAAGCCTGGGGCTGTATTTTGTATCCAGCAGAGAACAGAAGCCTTGACCCTGGGTGATGACCATAAGCTGAGTCCTGTTCTGGCTTGACAGCTCGAAGATGAATGCATCTCTCTTGGGTTTAACAGATCAAAAAGGGCTCTGAACTCACAACTCCCGGGGTGATCCAAGGCGATTCTTCAGGGAAGGCTTGTAGATATAATGGCAGTTTTTCTGCAAACTAAGCTTGTCAGCTACCCATTTGTTAAAGGGAAACGTAAACGGGACAAAAGCAGACAAAGCTTTGTGAAACACGGAAATCTGTGCACCCCAGATAATAAGCCAAACCAGACTGTCCTGCAATTTGAATTGTACAGTGTTCCCCATATCTACCCAGTACCCTTAATTCCCTGGTCAATGAAGAACAGTGCTATTCCATTCAGATAAGCAAAGATATAAAAACATCATCTATCCAGCCAGCATGATTTGGGTCCAAAATAAAATAACCTACCACAGATAAGATAAGTTTAAAAAACAGCAGGTTACAGCATAGTAAATAGACTGCTAGTTTAAGCACTGAGGCCACGTTAACACGAATTTACAGTGTTCTTCTGCTTGTACCTGTGTGCTTCTGATAAGAGAATTGGGGAATCTAGTCTGAAACCTCACAGCATTCCTCCTCATCTTTAACATCCAGTTTCAGATGTTTTTTCTTTAAGTTTTATCTTTAAATAGATTAACAACAGCACAGGTGACAAGAATAATATAAAAAAAAACATTGTTAGTATAATGGGTGGAAAAATGTCCATTATGAAGAACATTACCGAGGTGGAGGCACAAAAAAGCTCCATTAAATCATCAAATGGTTTAGTATGGAGAGAAGGAAAAGAATGAAAGCCACTTGTCATCAATCTTGCTTAAAATAGGCACCTTTCAAATGTGACTGTAGCCTAATTAGAGTCAAAAACACATTTTGTGTTATTCTGCCTTCAGTACCCTCAATTACATTTTCCCATTTTTCCAAAGCGCAGTTACTGCACACCCTGAACCTGATGGATTAGGTCCATAAGAGACATTTTTACACAAACTAAGGCACTGCTGATTTTATACCTAACTTATAAAGAAAGATTTAAGACCCATGACCACTCCTGACATTTATATTTTCCTTGAGAATTACCTGTTTTTGCATTGAGGAATCAGTGTACAAGACTACCACAATAAAAACCTACTTATGGAGTAAAATGACTATTTCTTTTTAAAACCCTTTACAGAGTTTTTCTTGTATATCCTCCCATTTTGGAATGACCAGTTGTTAATCAATTGGGCTCAAAATTACAACACAATGCATCACCTAGGAGAAACTAGGGATGTGCATATTCTCCTGTGACATAACCTTTAGTCAAACGAATAGCTTTTAATAATTATTTTCACAGCCTGAATAGTATGGGAAGGTCAAAAATTAGCATTAACCCTTTGTCAGAGGATGGGTTTCACATTTCCTCTCATTTAGTTTTATTCTTTCAAGGTGGAATTTAACCAATGGGTCTAAATGTTTAGGGGTTTTATTTGAGTGTTTGA